AAAAAAAAAAAAAAGATAACGTTCTAACACTATTATTTCTTCTTTAAATAACAGCCGAACAACAAGAAGAAAACCTTTAAACAAATAAAAAAATAAGATTCAGTACTTCATCCATCTTCCCGTAAAGCTGCTCAACTTCAACGAGTTACTTTACGTAAAGATCGGTTAGATAAAGCAAAAGTGCGAAGATATTCTGGAAGTGTTAGACCAATTGGTTTGTATTTTAATGCTTTCTTTTAAAATTCTTTGGTGGAATGACTAAATAGAGTCTGTAATATAACTTATCGCTTTCTTAGTTGACAAGATTTTATGGTTCAGATACGCACTTGATGATTCATTTCCTTGCGCTATAAAGGCCGATATTTATGATTTGATTGAAATGTAATTAAAGTTACCTTTTGAAATTTTGAATTTGTTATCTGCTTCTTACAAATGGTTTACTCTTTCATGTCCTGTTACTTGTAAAGGTATATCTCTCGTAATGATGATGAACTCTCAAAACTCAAGTTGTTAAAGATTAATGGAGCTGTCAGACCTAAAACAGTAAAAGAAGATCACATAGAAGCATTAAAATTGAAAGAGTGAAAAGAATATATAGAAGGATTTGGTATGCAAAGTAATGAATTATAACTTATATCCAAGTCAGATTAAAATTATCCAACTTAAGATTAGCGATTTAAACATTAAATTAGAAATTCCGGACTTAATGAATGCAAAAAATGTCAAGTTACTAAGGTATTTGATTTTTAATAGTCTTAAATAGCTTTAATAGTCTCGCAATAATATTATCTAATGTTCTTTATTTATTTATCAAACACAGAGAATGGGATGGTGACCCAAATTCATTATCACGAATCAAACTTATTCGTGTAGAAGACCCAAAAAATGCTACAGATTTAAAGACAACAGTAACAAATTTAAAAAAAATGAAAATTGACAAAGACTCAGATAAACCACAAGGGGAAGAAACTACAAAAGTGATGGAGCTTGATACTTTTTGATCCTGATATCATTAAAAAT